TTGAGATAGCCTATAGATTAGGGGGGCAGCAGCCTATAGATTAGGGGGGGCAGCAGCCTATAGATTATGGGGGGCAGCAGCCTATAGATTTGGGGGGGGGCAGCAGCCTGTAGATTAGGGGAGTGAGCCGGGGGGGGGAGCAGCCTATTACATTAGGGTGTGCACCCTAAAGCACAAACACACACCATGTGTATATGTATATGTATGTGTATATATATATATATATACATATATATATATATATATATACACTGGTAGTGTGCTATGTGGGTGAGGGTGTTTTTGTGTGTGTTTGTGAGAGTGCTGTTAGTGTGCTGTGTGTGAGGGTGCTGTTTGTGTGCTGTGTGTGAGGGAACTGGTAGTGTGCTGTGTGTGTGTGTTTTGTGTGTTTGTGAGGATGCTGTTAGTGTGTTGGGTGTGTGGGTGTTGTATGTGTGTGGGTGCTGTGTGTGCGAGGGTGATGTATGTGTGTAGGTGCTGTGTGTGTGGGTGCTGTGTGTGCGAGGGTGATGTATGTGTGTAGGTGCTGTGTGTGTGTGTGCTGTATGTTTGGGTGGAGGTGGGGGCAGACTAGTTAATATCCCAGTCCTGCTGCCTTCCCTGGTGGTTCAGTGGAGAGTGAACTCTAGCCCGGGTTCTCTGCTGCCTCCCTCCATGCTGCTGTGGACCGGTGAGGTAGAACTTTGATCTCCCCATCGGCCCATGGAGGCTTAGACCAGAGCCGCCGCTCGGATAGCGTCGGCTCTGCATGAGCCGACCGGGGAGATCCAGAGATCTCCCCTGTCGGTCTCAATCCATTGGCGTGCCGCGGGGATTAGGGTGTGCCCAGGCACACCCGACACACCCCGTGCGCACGCCTATAGAAGTGAGGAATGGGGGAGACAGCCTACATGAAGAGTCAGCAAGGAGCAGGAAGGTAAGGTAAGAAAAGGAGAAGGAACAGAAATGAGCAGGAAGGGACATCAAGGAGCAGAAAGGGGCAGCAAGGAGCTGGAAGGGACAGCAAGGAGCACAAAAGGTAAAGTAGGAGAAGGAGCACAAAGGAACAGAAATGAACAGGAAGGGTCAGCAAGGAGCTGGAAGGTAAAGCAGCACAAAGGTAAAGTAGAAGGAGCAGAAAGGGTCAGAAATGAGCTGGAAGGGGCAGAAGGAGCACAAAGGTAAAGTAGGAGAATGAGCAGGAAGGGGCAGCAAGGAGCAGAAAGGGGCAGCAAGGAGCAGAAAGGGACAGCAAGGAGCACAAAGGTAAAGTAGAAAAGGGAGTAGAAAGGGTCTGCAAGGAGCAGAAAGGGATCAGAATGAGAAAGGAGCAGAAGGGCGCAAAATAAGCAGAAAGTAGCAGAAAGGTAAAAGAGCAGAAGGGGACAAGTTTAGAAAACAGTGTCAGAAGAAAAAAAAAGACTGTCAAATGAAGGAGAGGAAAAGGAGATTGGAGCAGGAAGGACAAATGAAGTGAACCCTCCACTTTATTCTGGACACCACATCATAAGGCTTTGGTACCTGGGCCAGGCAGGGAAACACTGGACCTTCTCATCTCCAAAGGTAAAAAAATATCAGTATTAATGTGTTCACTTTTATTTACTGAGTGTCAGGAAGCACAGAGTGCCGTTGGGTAGGGGTGTTGCTGATTGGCTAGAGCGGTCAGCTGGCACTCTAAGCCAATCAGTAGCTCCCCATTCATAAAAAAGTAAAAATATTTTATGAACCGGGAACTAGCGATTGGCTTAGAGCGTCAACTGTCCACTCTAGCCAATCAGCGGCACCCATGCCTGACGTCAATCTGCACTTCCTGACACTCTGTTTCAGAAGCCAAATACCACTGAGTGACCTGGAGCTGGAGGAAGCCTTTGGGGTTAAACCATTTGAGAGCGATTTAACCCCTTAAAGGAAAGCGAGCACCCAGGGGCTTCCTGGCATCATAGCATTTTCATTTAGGTGAAGTTGTTATGGTGACCAGAATGGTCCTTTAATTTGCTTAAAGGAACACTATAGTGTCAGGAATACAAACATATATTCCTGACACCATAGTTGTGAAAACGCTATTCACCCTGGCTTTATGTGATAATGGCTATGCCCCTTCCCTTTCATGACACTGTCAAAAAGGTACCAAGCATGGATGTCATTACAATTATGCCCCCCCCTGGAAAAATTCCTGCGGACGCCCATGTCAGTGAGTGTGTGTTTTTTAGTGTGTGCCAAATCAGCAAGTGTGTGTGTGCCTGTCATTGAGTGTCTGTTTAGGTGACTGCTCCCCTTTCAATCACATGGGAAAGGAGTTTTTACTCTCCTCTTGTTGCAATGGGCCACTTGACTGGATTTGCCCCCCAGGCCTAAGGCTGCCAACCCTCCCCTGCCTGGAATCATTGCTTAGTGCAGTGCAAACGTATTTATACAATGCCCTTGTCCTGCACTTTGCTTAGAGTTCCCAGAAACCAGACACCAGAGAGAGATGACTGGATGGAGGGGCTGTCTCACCAAATTTCGGATTGTTGGCAAGTATGATTTATCTTGAATGTTAAAAAGATGACATTTTAACCAAATAGCTATAGGGATAATTGAGGAAGTACACTATCTTGACTATTTTTATACAAAGAATAAAATAAATAAACTTTCTCATTAATTTGCTCTAATTCCCATCTTAGTGAATGATCCCCACTGAGTGCTAATAAACCACTATCTATGCGAAATGGGGAAATACTTCTCTGCCAGAAAAGAAATGTCTGTTTCTAGATACACACAAACTATATTTATACATGTGAGAAGAGAAATCAGACAACTGCAAGATGACAGATGGCGCAGAGAGCACACGATTCTATTCTAATTAGGATCCATAACAAGGAGCCAATGTTGAGATTTTTACATTACGGAAAATACTTTCCTTGACACAATCATAGTTACGTAAGGAGTTTAAATGAATAAATAGATAAAAAGCTCCGTATTCTGTTTTTTTTTTCATATTTCACGCCTACATTTGGATGCAGTCATTTTATTAAAGCCATCCTGTTACATATTCCGTTGCGATGATCCACGCGGAATTCTTTCACCTCTTCACATGTTTGAGCTATGCCAAGCAGCACTTGGTTATTTAATTGCTGTGATCTATCAAATGTTTAATTAGCTAAGCATCCACAAATTTAGCATTTTGCTCACAATAATAAAATCTATACCCCAGGACATACTTGGAAACGTAGAGAAAAAATAAAAAAAATAAAACAAATCAGAAACTCTTCGGTTATTGTAACAATAAAACCACAGTAAATTTCACAAGAATAGGAATTATTTGTCATTACTGCTGCTGTGGCTGGCTACTCCCATTCTGCTAAGCCAGTCAGAAAATAAATATAGAGCATATATGTTTTTAAATGTATTATTTTATGTACTCGTAAAAGTATAAATGATGATTTAACTTGACACCCCGAATGTTAGTTGCGTATTATGGTAATTGTAGTTTACAAATTTGTGGGGTGGTAGAGTTAGCCTTTGTACAGGTCAGAACACATATCTTATAGGCATCAAAACAGTGTTACCTTAATGAAGCAGGAGTTAAATCACTTTTGTTTCTATTTATGCAGCCCTAGCCAAACCTCCCATGGCTGTGACTCACACAGCCTGCATTGAAAAAAAGGTTTCATTTTCAAGCAGATCTTAACTTACTTTAGAAGTGTTTTTTTTTTTAAATCTTTATTTTTTCATTAAAAAAATAGATACAAAAAAGGAAGAAAAGAAAGATATAAGAAGCATACAAATAAATGTAAATATGATACCTGCGTAATAAACATATACAATGTCACTACCATATTATACTAGAGTAAACATCGAATTTGCTTGTTAAAAGGTCATAATATTGAACTTAGCTTTTATAAACCTTTTATGAGGGCGGTTCCAATATTGAATCAAACGGTTTAAATATATGGATGTTGTTCATACAGAAAAAGAAAAAGAAAGAAGAAAATAATAATAATAATAATAATAAAAAAATATAGCATAAAGCAGATTGTAGGGAAAAGAGTATGAATTAAACTATTGGTTATCACCTTTTTAGATATTCTTAAAATAAAGAAAGTTTAAGTAACTTTTGCTGGTGGCTACCTTAATCCTTACAAGATGGATTATCACAATAAGTATTAAACAGGGAGAAAAAAAAGAAATAAACAAATAAATATATACGCATACACACATACATATATACATAGACAGACAGACAGACTAGATAGATAGATAGATAGATAGACTAGATATATAGACAGACAGACAGATAGATAGATAGACAGACAGACTAGATATATAGACAGACAGACAGACAGACAGATAGATAGATAGATAGATAGATAGATAGATAGATAGATAGATAGATAGACAGGCAGACAGACAGACAGACAGAAATCTATACATGACAATAGGGAGAGCATCTAAATTAAATAATTTCCAAGACTGAACTACTCTTTAAGTAAATAGAAATTGTTGCATCTTTCTATTATCCCTTTAACCAATGTTGTGTCCAGGGGTCCCATGTCCCATGTCCCCAAATATTTTCTCTTCTTACCCTGGGACGACCAATGAAGGTAATTTCCCTCAATAACTCAACCCTTTCCACCCATTGTTTTACAGAAGGTACTTGAATACAAAAAGATAAGTCCTGCGCTCACTCCCATCACTACTGGGCCGGCAGCAATGACTACAGTACACATCAGCCCCAATATATAGCAAAAACCAAAGAAAAGAAAAAGTAATCTGCGCTCTCTCCTTAATCCCTATGTATTCCCTATGTATATCCAGACAAATGGAGGTCATTTAGTTACTCCAATGGCCACTGGCGGGAATGCCCGCCTGCCAACGTCAAGGCAGACCCCCCCTAAAGCGGGTCCTACTCTGACCCTTCACCTTGCTTCCTTGAGCTTCTGGCAAAGATATCTCTAATGAGACAGAGAGGGGTATTTTTTCTATACACCCCTATATACTTATTAAACCTTAATAGGGAACACATGGGATGGGCGGCAGCATTTTAACTTGAGTATGTCGCCAATATACAGGAATACGCGTGTTAGCGTCACTGAGGAGTAACCACCGCAATCCTTGTTTATCTCTCTGCTGGTACGTGTTAGGACATCCTAAGAGTATCTGGGGATGGGTAACTATTGATAGCAATGGAAGAATCTCGTTTATAGTAGATATTATTCCCTCCCAATACTCCCTAATTTTCTGGCAAAACTACCAGATATGATTCATATCTCCTACACCAACTCCACATCTCCAACACCTAGCACTATTTTTAGGGCTAATATGGTGGAGTCGGACTGGGGCTCTATAACATCTAGTAATACGTTTATAAAAAGTTTACCTTTTTGCCATAATAACTGAGAGTGTCATCATTCTTTCAAAGATATATATATAGTCTTTATCTGTAAGATGCACATGTAATCCCTGCATCCATTTTCTCTGGAAAGGTGGCTCCCCTATTCCCTCTATTTGAGACAAAATCATATGATAAATTTGTGATAATGAACGTGTGCTGTCACTTGAAGGGCTACATAGGACTTGAAGGGATTCTCTTCCCTAGGTCGCCAATACGGTAATACAGAACTCTGCAGGAAACCTTTTAATTGAAGTTGTCTCATCACATCTAGCATTGTATCAGTTTTACTAAAATTGATCATTTTGGGCATATAATCTACGGTCGTCACTGCTCTTAAACTAGGGTTTGCCACTCCTGTCAGTCGTACCAGAGTCGATACTCTGTGTCATCCATGAAAGTTGAAGTTATTTGCTATTGGGAAATAAGGGGACGACCCTGGTGAAAGTCTCTATTGATTTTTATGGTGTCTCCATTTTATCAAAATGTTATATATAAAAGGATGAGTCCTCAAGGATAAACTCTGTCATTTGCATGTTTGCCAAGGAAGTGTGTGTAATGATACTAAGTAAACATTTTGTTCCCAGGGTTTGTCATATCGATATCTATCCACTCCATAATTCTAGTAAAGAGAACTGCTACATTGTATCAATACATAAGGGGTAGTCCCTTACCTCTACTCCCTGTAAGTACAGCTAACTGGGCCCTTTTATGTCTCCAAGCATAAGAGGTGAATATTATTTATAAAGTATGAACAAATTGGGTATGTATAGGAATAGGAAGAACCTGAAAAGGAGGCAGATCAGGGGCAGAGCCAGCATGATTCAATCACAGCCCTGGCCAATCAGCATCTCCTCATAGAGATGAATTGAATCAATGAATCTCTATGAGGAAAGTTCAGTGTCTGCATGCAGATGGAGGAGATACTGAATGTTTGGATGCATTTTAGACAGCCATGACCCAGGAAGGATCTCTAACAGCCATCTGAGGGGTGGCCAGTGAAGTTATCACTAGGCTGTAATGTAAACTCTGCATTTTCTCTGAAAAGACAGTGTTTACAGCAAAAAGGCTGAAGGTAATGATTCTACTCACCAGAACAAATTCAATAAGCTGTAGTTGTTCTGGTGACTATAGTGTCCCTTTAAGGTCTGCTCATATTTCTTTCAGTAGGGGGAGATAGTTCAGATGATAAAAGTTAGAAGGTTTTAACTCCTGCTCTGTAAATTGAACTTAAATTACATACAGAAGGCTCCTGCAGGGTCTAACAGGCTATTAATCCAACAGGAGATAATAAACTCTAAATTAAATAGAATAAGCAAAAAAGGAAGTTTAAACATTAGCTATCTCTTTACAGGAAGTGTTTAGGGAGGATGTGACATGCAGGGAGGTGTGATCAGGGCTGTTTAAACAAAGTGATTTAACTCTTAAATGGCAGGAAATTGAGCAGTGAGACTGCAGGGGCATGATCTATACACAAAAACCATTTTATTAGGATAAAGTTGTTTTGATGCCTATATTGTCCATAAAAACAAGATGTATATATAAAGCAGTGATGGATCTACATTAAATATAATCCACAAAGTGTCCGTTACTGTAAAATGGTATCCTAATTAACACATAGGGCAATCTATAAGTAAAACCCTCTATATATTTGTTGTATAAGTCTTTCATCATTACAAATCTCTACTTGATTACTACAAACAGAAGACATGCATCATTATACTTACAGAAATGGCACATATCATAGATTTGTTTTGTTTTTTAAAAACATGAGACCCCACAAATCCAACCTAAAATCCATAAATGTAATAAAAACATTGTCTTTATAGGAAATATAAAGTAACCTAAAATCAATTAACAAGGAAAATAAAAACATTACCTTTATTTAAAAAAATTACTGTTAAAAAATATACATTGTATATATTTTTTCTGTAAATCCTTTATTTTGTTTTCAGATATGATCTATTTCATATAAAGGGAATATTTTTATTGTATTATCGGATTTATTTATATATATCTCGAGTTGCGTGATCTGACCTCATATCTGGCTGTCTTACTCTGTTAGCCGTGACTTTCCATTGAGGACTGGTAAAAAATAAAGACTATCACTCTTTTTTTTGTTTAATAGATTTCTTTTCAGTAACGCTGAATTTCAGCAACAATGTGAACACCAAAATAAAAAAAATGAAACAATATAACTAATGTGTGTTTTTTAATGGTAATGGAGTAATATAACAATAGACACATATCGAGACTGAAGAATTGCCTACTGTCTACTTATTATTTTGAATATTTATGACAAGTGCGATATGTGCCGATAAATAATGTATAGTTTTTATTGGGTAATTTGTTGGTTTGACTTCCCATTATTTCTACATTTACATTCAACTACTGGGCAGCAACCAGTGCTGGCCCGACACATTGTGCTGTCTGGTGCAAGTATGAAATGCTGCTCCCCCTCCCAAGAAAAGCACGCCATAACTATGTTATGCAGTGTGTTTGGTGAATGCAATGTCTGTAGTGAATGCATTATGTGTGTGTGTACTGGATGCAGTGTGTGTAGTCGATGCTGTGTATGTGTGTCATGGATGCAACCTATCCCCCACAGCAAATACAAAACATATAATGTTAAGCCATGCACTCAAACTCCCAATACTCTTGGGCAGCAACAATTACTATAGTATGTGACTCATTGTTAGAAACTCTGCCCTTTACACCAGCCAGTTAGCACTGTGTGCACCGGCTGGGCCAGAACTCAACTGGATTATGGTGTAACGCCAGGAGTTCCTTGGAGAGTGGTTTTTATCCTGCAGAGATTGGTTAGTATTATTTTGTTTAATCTGCTTAATTGACAAGGTTTTAAATAAAGCTAAAAAAAGAGATCTGTTTTTTTCCCTCCTTTGTGCTGCTGCTTGGTTAATTGGGGGAGTGTTCCTTAATTGCCACCTGGGTGGGATTTGTATTCCCATATAAGCACACCCCTAACTCACTGAGCTTGTTCACATTTGCTTGAAAGCATACTCTGTTAAGTAGACTCTTTCAAGTAGGAGTTAAAGGGACACTATATTCACTAGAACAGCTACAGCTTAATGTAGTTGTTCTGGTGAGTATAATAGCTCCCTTCAGGCATTTTCATGTAAACACTGCCTTTTCAGAGAAAAGGCAGTGTTTACATTGCCCCTAGGGACACCTCCAAGTGGCCAGCTTCCTGGTTCAGGGCTGCACAGTAAGCAGCCCTGCCATTCAGCTTGGGATGCTGAATTGATTCAATGCATCTCTATGAGGAGGTCCTGATTGGCCAAAACGACATTTGGCTCTGCTCCCATGACGATTTTAGCCATAGGGAAAGGATTTTGGATTGGCTAAAAATCGGCCATTTTGATGATGTCACAAAGTGGGCGGAGCCAACACCAGCGGACCCGCGCAGCGCTGGAAACAAGGTGAATTTTAAACTTTTATAGCATGTATGCATTCCTGGATGTACCCGTCCAGGGTCCATATCTTTGTGACAGGTGTGTGCGAGTGGCTTCTCTGGAAGCTCAGATTGGAGATCTCGAGAAGCAAATTGCAACATTGAGGGAGATCGACAATCTTGAGAGGAGTCTGCTGCTCACTGAGCAGAGTTTAGTGGGGACAGGTGGTGGAGTGGGAGGAGATAAGACAGATGGGGAACAGGCATGTAGCTGGGTGACAGTGAGGCGCGGTAGCATGGGGCGAGGGAAGAGGAAAGGGCTAGCTAGTCCTGAGTTTGTGCAACCTAGCAGATTTGCCCGTTTGAGTGAAGATGTTGGGAGCAGCTGTACTAGAGGAAGCTGTTCCTTCTAACAGCCGAGGGAACAGCCCCTCTAGTAAGGGTGGGGATGAAAATGTAAGGAAGGCTAGACAGGTTGTTGTGGTAGGGAACTCTGTCATTAGGAGAATAGATAGGGTAATCCCCCGCTCTGATCGGCTCAACTGGACTCTTTGCTGTCTCCCGGGTGCTCGGGTGCGGCATGTTGCTGACAGAGTGGAGGGGTTGTTGGGAGGGGCTGGGGATGACCCAGCGGTAATGGTCCACGTTGGTATCAATGATAAAGTTAGAGGAAGATGGAAGGTCCTGAAGAATGATTTCAAGGAATTAGGTAGCAAACTTAAGAAAAGGACCTAATGCAAGGAGCCTAAATAACAAAATAGGGGGACTTGAGGCAATAGCATACACTAAATAATATGACATAAAAGGCATAACTGAAACATGATGGGATGAGACACATGACTGGGCAGATAACTTAAATGGGTACACACTATTTAGGAAGGAATAAACAGGAAAGGTGGTGGGGTATGTTGTATGTTTGTATGTCAACCGTGCATTAAATCCAAACCTTAAGCAAGTGGAATATGTTGAGGAAAATGTGGAAGCTTTATGGGTATACATCTGCTTGGGGCAAAAAAAGGGAAATCACTTCTTGGTTGGGATATGTTATAAACCACCTAATGTTAATATTGCTGAGGAACAACAGCTGTTTGAGCAAATTGAGAAAGCTGCAAATCTGGGTTACACTTTAATTATTGGAGATTTTAATTACCCGGACATAAACTGGGACAGAGGGACTAGTAGTTCAGCAAACGGAATTAGGTTTTTGAACTTGTTAAATGACACCTTCGTGTCACAACTTGTACAAGCACCAACTAGAAAGAATGCTTGTCTGGGCCTGGTTCTAACAAACAACGTTGATCTTTTGACCAACATTCAAGTAGGTGAACGTAAATAGTAGGATCAGGAAGCAGCGCCTGTGATGGAATTCCCACGCTCAGAGCGATATGGAGGAGGGAAGGAAAATTACACAGATATAGTGTAGTATGTTGAGATCTTAAGTGATAGT